GAATAACACCTAACCATGATATCAAATCACCAAGGCAGGATAAGGGAATGAGACACCTAAGCAGGATATCACATTATCAAGGTAGGATGGAGGAAGTTCTTGACCATATATATCTTATCATCTAGGCAAGAAGTGGTACTGAAAGTAAATCTTAACCAAGGTATCGTATCACTGAGGCAAGAAATAAAGAAATGGGGGAATTGACTCTTAACCAAGATATCAAATAATCGAGGCAAGAGAAGAACAAAAAGTGAATTGTCATAAGCAACTAAACACCTAACCAAGATATCAAGGATCGAGTTAGGAGATAGAAGACAATAATGAGCTTGAGACAAAACATGGGGGTGATCAAAAACCCTTCTCCACTTGACCGACTCAATACAAGAGCAACACAGTTTAATAGAATTGACGTTACGACCTGAGCTACGAATAACCTGGGGACTAGAAATGGCGGGATCGATTACGGACCCTCTTCCACCTATGCCTCCTTTTGAGGACTTATCATTGGGGAAAAGAAATGGGACGCCTTCATCGAGGTCTTTGGAACAAAATTAAACAAACTGATATGTAAACAAGAACAAGTAGGAATTGCCTTAAACAAGGTCTTTAAATAAACCATATTTGCTTCAAAGGGACTCCTAAAACATGCATCTCTATTCCTACTTCTCATGGCAAGGAAAATGGTAAATCATATAGAATGGAAAAGAGGCAAGGAATATACCAGACAGATAACAATCCTTACATGCTAAGCAGCAGCAAAAGAAACCCAAGAACTTTGTGAGCAACTGGCATTAACAACAAAATAATCAGAAATCTAGCGCACGAAATATGCAACAAAGCACCAATGTGAAAATAAATCGCAATGCAAAATGTGCATCGAACACATTCGAATATCAATAAGTACACCTGCACAAGATATTGATTCATAAAAACAATAACAACATACAACGGTATATAATATGGAATGTGTGTCGAGCACATCCGAATATCAAACAGCACACCTGCACAAGATATCAATCCAGACAAGCAACAATAATGTACAATGATATGTACATATAATACGGAATGTGTATCGAACACATCCGAATATCAATCAGTACACCTGCACAAGATATTAATCCAGACAAGTGATAACAAAATATATCATCTCATGGAATGAAAACAATAGCCAAGCGTATCGAACGCAAGTTCAAACCACAAATAAATGGCATAAATTGTCTTTCAATCGAATAATCAAGCGATAACTAAACAATTTAATGGCATCTCAAAGTACCTTGCACAAGTCAACAAACACATTAGAAATAACAAGGAAATACAACCAAAGTTATGCATTTACATCACCACCTAAATTAAGGATGAATGATGAAGAAAGGGAATCCAAACATGCATTGGAACCTTAACATCAAAAACCGGGCAGCATTGCCGTATCGTACAACATAGCACAAAAAATCGGTATAAAAACAACTAAACATGGTACCAACACCACACAATCATGCTAACAAGCTCAAATATGCAACAAGTATGAATTAAATCAACGTGTACAAGTGTTTACTAATGCGGGGAAGCTATGACATAACACGCGAAATCTCAACCAAAGTCGAATTAAAATGAGCTGAAATCGGTACCGATATCAACCAATTGATTAATTAAACTCAACAATATATTATTCAATAATTAAACTCAAGTGCACGTGAAAAATTATATTTCAGACAACCACATATCCTTTCATGAAATGTAAAAAATGTCGATTTAAAATCAACCTCAATTGATACCAGTATCAACCAAAAGTTAAACAATGACTAATTTCGTATCAGACATAAATTAAATCAATATTTTACATGCCTTTAATTCCAGGACAACATTATGTAACCATACAAAATAAGCCGGAAAATGGTATCGGAACCACCAAAACTCATTAAATGATCAATTATTACAAATAATCCTCAAATGAAAACAAAATCGATATGTACATGAGAAATTAATTTCTGGACAGCACCGCATTAATTTGCAAAACGACTTGGAACTTGAATTTTAAACGGTAAAACTCAACACCGGTAGCTTAAAATAATCAAAACCATATTGTTTGCGCATGAAACAACAATTAAAACCTCGATTACAACATATTTGAATATTTCGAGAAGCACTATTCATGAGTCGATGAATATCCAAAAATTGACTTACAAAACGAGTATTAACTCATGAATCGTGGCCTAAAAGCTTCAAATAATTGTAATGAACTAAATCCGCATTGATGTCATGCTTTTCCGATCACAAATGATGCAATTCGAGTGTTGACATAATTAGTTGAATTGAAAATTTTACGTCGAAAAATTGAATTATCATTCAATTCAACTCAAGAATTATGTTAACTCATGAATTTAATATTACTCCTCAATAAGAATCCAAAATCAACACAATCCGCAATAATTTGACATCAACAAAGTGCAATCGGATTAAATCTCAAGGTTCTCATAAATTTACCGAATACTCAACTAATCCGGATTTTGACATAATAAAAAATTCAATTAAGTTCTTAATTCAAGTCATGAAAATTCAATTACCTCATAAAACAATCTCAACAATTCAATTCAATTTATGAATTTCTCAATAAGCAATTATTCACCACAATCAATTATTCAAGCAATGCACTTAATTAATTGAATCAATACAAAGTATGAAGAATTTTCTGAAATGAAGAACAAATCGGAAGAAGATGATGCTGGCCGGAGTTGTGATCGGAAGAAGAGGAGCCAACGCCGAAAAAATCAACGGACATGGAGGGAGAAGACGTCGCCGACTTGTGTGACGGAAGGGACAGAGGGCATCGCGGTGTGCGACGGAAGCTCGACAAAGGGAGGCCGACAATTCGCTGGAGGAGGAGGTGGTGGCGATAGTGGTGGTCTGGGAGCAGGGGTGGTTTGTCTAAGCTTGGGAGGGAGAGAGGGAACTTGAGATTTGAATTCTTCTTCTCTGGTTCTTGATGAGAGTGGAGAGAGTTTGTTATACCTTTGAGAGTGAAACTTTGTAAATGATTTGTGTCCTCTCAAAATAGAGATGAGAATTGAATATATAATCTTAACAAATTGAGCCTTGGTTTGGGCCAAGAGAAAACCCAATCAATTTCTTCAAAAAACTGAATTTTCAATGTCAGCAAATGCAGTCGAACAGAAAATCCACAAGCTCAATAATAATAGGTGCTAAATCTCGACGTGAGACTAACACCAAAATCGTAGATGACGAAATTTTTAACGTAGTGCCAAAAGAACGAATGCGATACGATAAAAAACGAGCAAGTTATGAATTTTTGAATGGCGAGAAATCAGACAGAAAATATCTGCAGCACAACTTATTTTACCGGTCAACTTGAGAAACGAAAAATAACCGAAGCTTTCGGAGTACCATTCAAACTTGGGACCTGAAACAAAGTTGTAGCTAACAAAATTTATGATCTCGTGCTTCGAGAACCATCCCGATACGATAAAAATCGAGAGAGTTACGATTTTTACAATATCAAGAAATAGTGAACCAGAGCTCCAATTTTGCTATAACAATTCTCTGGTAATTCGCGTTTCGGAGATCTTTTGGCACAGAACTGGCCCTCGACCTGAACATACAAAATGTGAGGGATATCAAGATGGAATTTACGCCCAAAGAAATAGTCAAAAGCATCGAACCGGGCGAAAGTTATAAATTTTGAACGTCCGAAAAATAACGGTTCAACACACTTTTCACTGTATTTTCCAATGCTTATTTTCAATGTATTCGCGCATTCGGAGACCTTTTTCAAAGAATTAGCTCTCGGCCTGAACACATGAATTAGAGAATATATCAAGACGAATTTTATGGCTAAAGAACCATTCAGAAATATTAAGACACATGAGAGTTACAAAATTTTGAACATCTGAGCGACCATTGACCAACAAACCCAAAACTCTGGTTATTTAAATCTTCAGCGGTCTTCCTCACAAAATTGGCCCTCGGTCTAAACAAACAACAAATAAAGAACGCCGAGACAGTTTAATGTCCAAAGAACTACTGAAAAATCTTCTTCTGACCAGAAGTTATAAATTTCTGAAACTCACCGCAACAAACAGACTTTTAATTCAAATTGTTCTGAAATGAGCGAAACACTTGATTTTCCATACCGTTCAAGGCGTCTTGAAACATGAGAACTTGGCATGACGATGACTTGATTATACACTGATTGAATAGCATGGAGAAGGCTTTGAATGCGTCGAACGACGAAATCAACGTCTTCGATAACCTGACGAAGCTTGAAGAAATATTTTTATTTGATAACTACAAAACCAATGATATATATGCATGCATATGATAATGAAATATAAATCAGATAGATTAAAATGAAGAGGGTGGGTTTTAGAATATACCACATTCATGAATTTAAAATTAAAAAAAATTTACTTATTTTATAATAATGACGAGAGAGTATTGAAATGAGGTCACCGTCGTGTCTAGATTTAGAAACCGGCTATGAAAAACCTCTTTTGTCTCCGCACTAAAAAAAAAGAGTTGAAAATTCAAAAAGTTATTCCTACATGACAGTTTTTCAATTAAATCGTCAAAAACTGGGCTATCCCAAAATATACTTAACAAAAAACCCAACTAAACAACTATTACTACTATTAGAAAAACCAACTAAACCATCAAAGAAAAGCAAAACCACCGCTCTTCCAATAATATTCAATTCAAGGACACCGAATGGAATAATATATTAAGTTCACAGAACCTTCAACACCATTCTTGTCACTGTATTCATTTTTTTTTTCTAACATACAAACAAAACACATGTTACTGCATAATTGTTTTCTTTAACACCAAGCCACAGCACATAGTTTTTCCACTTTCCAAAACCAACCAAAGTAACCATATTTAAACCCCTTCATAAACCTCTTCTCTTCACACACTCACACTTACTATTATTCAATCAAACAAATTACAAACACATTAATCAAACTTATAATCACAAACTATCAAACCCAATGGAAACTGAAACCGAAACTCAAAACGGCTCAGCTGTTTGTCCCAGCTCGGCTCCGTCTCCTGTCCGTCCTTTCGCATGCGACGGCACGATGGGACGCCACTTAGCTCGGCGGCTAGTTGAGATCGGCGTCCGTGACGTCTTCTCTGTTCCCGGCGACTTCAATTTAACTCTTCTCGACCACCTGATCGCTGAGCCGGAGCTTAATCTTGTCGGCTGCTGCAACGAGCTTAACGCCGGATATGCTGCTGACGGTTACGCGCGTGCCAAAGGTGTCGGCGCGTGTGTTGTTACTTTCACCGTTGGTGGACTTAGTATCCTCAACGCCATCGCCGGAGCTTACAGTGAGAATCTTCCGGTGATTTGTATTGTTGGAGGACCTAATTCTAATGACTATGGTACCAACCGAATCCTTCATCATACTATTGGATTACCTGATTTCTCTCAGGAGCTTCAGTGCTTTCAGACGATCACATGTTTTCAGGTGAGTGATCAATGTAGCGCACTCATCTTCGAAGCACGACACGGACACGTCTGACACGGACACGTCTGACACGGACACGTGACAATGGTAGTGTCCGTGTATGTGCTTTGAAGGTTATTTTTGTTTTTGATTTTGATCTTTGTTGATGTTGTGATTTGAATTTCTTAGGCTGTGGTGAATAACTTGGATGATGCACATGAACTTATTGATACTGCAATTTCTACTGCTTTGAAGGAAAGCAAGCCTGTTTATATAAGTATAGGTTGTAATCTTCCTGGAATTCCTCATCCAACTTTTGCTAGGGACCCTGTTCCATTTTTTCTTGCACCAAGGTATGTATTTTGATGTATGAAACACGGATACAGACGACACACCGGTAATAATTTGAAAAAAAATGAATAAATTAAAGCAAAGATTGGTGTCACGTTGGGGTCGGTGTACAATAGTGACACTTACACCTTTTTCTAGAGGTGTGATTTTGATTACTAATCAATCACTCCTTTTTATCTTTTTGAAGTTTCTGTTATTTGTTTTACTTACGAGTATGATCCTTTTACAAAGCATGATTATTGGCAGTGTTAGGATAAACCCAATGAAGCTTTTTAACTATAGTTAAATTCTTTTTTTTTTATTTGTGTGGTCAAGTTGAGTTACTAATTTTAGTATTTGTCTGTTTGGTGTCAGCTCAGTGGTATGAGTTTGATCTTATAACATCCAGGGACTAAATTCAAATTCCCTCGAAGATACTTGCTAAACGCCATTTGTGTGGCTTTAACTGTTCAATAATTTTGTGAAAAATGTTTGTTCTTGTATTCATATTTGGCATTAGTATCATGTAAAAATATTTACAAACTTTTTAAAATATTGTGCAGGGTAAGCAATCAAGCAGGGTTAGAAGCGGCAGTGGAAGAAGCAGCTGCTTTTCTAAACAAAGCTGTGAAGCCAGTTATTGTGGGTGGGCCAAAACTAAGGGTTGCAAAAGCACAAAAGGCTTTTATGGAGTTTGCAGAAGCTAGTGGATATCCAATAGCTGTTATGCCCTCTGGCAAAGGACTTGTACCAGAAAACCATCCACATTTCATCGGAACATACTGGGGTGCTGTTAGTACTAGCTATTGTGGGGAGATAGTGGAGTCTGCTGATGCATATGTTTTTGTTGGTCCCATCTTCAATGACTATAGCTCTGTTGGATACTCATTGTTGATCAAGAAGGAGAAATCCTTAATAGTACAGCCTAATCGAGTCACCATTGGCAATGGTCTTTCGTTGGGCTGGGTTTTCATGGCTGATTTCTTAACTGCATTGGCTAAAAAGGTGAAGACTAACACCACGGCTATGGAGAACTACCGTCGTATCTATGTTCCTCCAGGCATTCCTCTTAAGCGGGAGAAGGATGAACCTCTTCGAGTTAATGTTCTATTCAAGCACATTCAGGTAATTTCTATTTCTAGATCTTGTAATTCTTTGGATGATATTTCCATTTTGCTCAGCAATTAAATTTGTTGAACAGGCGCTAATTAGTGGAGATACTGCTGTAATAGCTGAAACTGGAGATTCATGGTTTAACTGTCAGAAGCTTCGTCTTCCTGAGAATTGCGGGTAAGTCTTTCACAATTTCTGCACGAGTAATTTGATAATTACAACCTCTACAATCTACATTGTTTGAACTTGGAACTAACATATGGATTCCATCTCTCAGTTATGAATTTCAGATGCAGTATGGATCAATTGGTTGGTCAGTTGGTGCTACTCTTGGATACGCACAGGCTGCAACAGATAAGCGTGTGATTGCGTGCATAGGGGATGGAAGTTTTCAGGTTAGAAACATTTTAAGAAAAAAAACTTAGTATTCATAATTCATAACATTAATGTTAGGTTTCAACAGCAAGTAAACCTGTTCATTAATTTGTTTCTGCCTTATTTAGGTGACAGCCCAAGATATTTCAACAATGATCCGTTGTGGACAAAGAAGCATCATCTTTCTGATCAACAACGGAGGTTATACAATTGAAGTTGAGATTCATGATGGCCCATATAACGTGATCAAGAATTGGGACTATACCGGCTTTGTGAGTGCCATCCATAATGGACAAGGGAAATGCTGGACTGCCAAGGTACGTACAGAGGAAGATTTGACAGAAGCAATTGCAACAGCTACTGGAGCAGAGAAAGATTCACTATGTTTTATAGAAGTTTTTGCACATAAGGATGATACCAGCAAAGAGTTGCTAGAATGGGGATCTCGTGTTGCTGCGGCCAACAGTCGTCCTCCTAATCCCCAATAGAAACTGAATTCCTAATGATTGTATTGTTATAAAAAACAATTATAATTTGTATATTTTGGTGTACTAGATTTGTCGAGGACATGTATTGGATAAGTGCGACAAAAGTGAAAGTAAGTTGGAATAATTGCTCGTTTGTTGAAATCACGAACTGGTGTAGCTTTACTCATAGCATTGATGATATCTTGTTGTAGGTAACATTTACTTGAATGTTTTGATTTACTATAATTGCTCGTTTGTTGAAATCACGAACTGGTGTAGCTTTACTCATAGCATTGATGATATCTTGTTGTAGGTAACATTTACTTGAATGTTTTAATTTACTTAGAACCGAAACTGAATTCAAGTTATTTGTTTGATATATCGTTTCAAATTTTTAAATTATACCAAATCATTAGAAGACAAATTTTTCTAAACTGAATCATTTATTAAAGAACTAAATCATTAAATTATTTTTCAATTTTAAAAAAAAATTAAAACTTAATTTTAGTATTTTTTATTTTCAGTTTTGATTCGATTCAGTATCAACTTCAATTCAATTTTAATTTTGGTTTGGTTCTAGAATCATTTGTGTAAATATGATTTGATTTACTAATTAAATATAACAGTTTCATTATTTTAACTTCAGCTCAGTTTAATGGTTTAACAACCCTAATTAATAAAGATATACTATAAATAATAGTATCTAATTATTATTAATGAAGATATACTGATGAATCAATAAAGATATACTATGAATAATAGTATCTAATTATTATTAATGAAGATATACTGATGAATCATAGTATATATGCATGTGCATCTAAATTGAATATTTTATTTATTCATCTATTGTAAAAAATGTAATCAAAAAATTTATTTATTCATCTTTTGTAAAAAAAAAAAAACTAAAATTGTTATAAAATATATTGTCTTTGTTATAATAATAAAAAACTATTATTATTACTATTTGAAATATATTGTGAATAGTAAATATCTTCTATCTATCTATGAAGATTTTTATATTGTAAAGTTATAGATATTATTATATGTAGTGAATAGTTGTAATTCATATAATATAAATAGCATACATTGGATTAATGTAATAATACAACAATTCTCTCAAACAAATATATTACTTCAATACTCTCTTCTACGTCTTTATTTTTAAAGTTTGGTTCAAATATTTTGGTTTTTCTCAACACGTTATCAGCACGATCATTTTTATCGGATGTTTTTACTACACTAAGTATATATATTCTATACTTATTACTTTAATCTTATTATTACTGTTATTATTATTATTATTTTTCCCGGTTATAGAAAACTGACAATCAGTCAAGTGATTTATAACTAAAGTGACTATTACTGTTATTATTATTATTTGTCTCAGTTATAGAAAATTGTCAACCAGTCAAGTGATTTATAATTAGAGTGGTTATTATTATTATTATTATTATTTTATTTTTTGTTATAGAAAACTGACAATTCGTCAAATGTTCTATAATAAATAAAGATATTCTTATTATATATTTTGTGTTGAGGTTTAAAACCTTATATCATGTTACTAAATTTTATATTTAGTGGAGGTTTAAAGCCCCATATTGTTACTAGCTTTTATTTAGTGGAGATTTAAAATCTCATATTGTTACTAGTTTTTATATTTAGTGGAGGTTTAAAACTCCATGTTGTTACTAGTTTTTATATTTAATGGGGTCTAAAACTCCATATGTATATTCTAATATTCATCATATGTGTTCTTTTGTCTTATATCTTATCTGATAATTATCTTTAACACTTATAACGGTCATATAATTATGTTTTTTACACATTTAAATTTTGGGTAGATAATATTTTTTCTTCACACTTAACATTTTCCCTTTTCCTCAAGATAATATAACGGTTATTTTTTTCAAAAAAAAAAATTACCTCTATAAGTATTTCAACTTCTTCCATAATTTTCACATCATTTTCAAAATTTCTACCCATATTTTTTAAATGGCTAAAATTCTTCTTTTGTTCATCACTCTACTTGTAACTATTTTGTTTATTATCAGTGTTATCAAACGTGAAGAATTAGATAATGATTTTGTAGCTTTGATAATAATTATCGTCTTACCATTACTAGTCTTAACTTGATTTATTAGTAGATGTTTTTTAATAATATGTAGTCACGAATTTTGTAACTGAATAAATTGTTTTTTTTTTAGTTTATGTATTTAATATTGTTTATGTTCATCTGAATTATAAATATAATGATGTCAAATCTTAAGCATCAATTCAAAATTCTAAGCATAACTGAGGACAACTTTATAACCTGGAACAACAATTTAATTGAATACCTTACATGTGAGGGACTTAACAAAATACTCGAAGGAGACAATTCTGGAAAATCAACAGACGACCCAGATGAAATGGAAAAGAGAAATTCAAAAGTGAACAGAATAATCAAACACCATTTTGATGATGGATTGCAAATCGAATATTCAAATGCTAAAGATCCCAAGATTTTGTGGGACAAAATTAAAGCAAGATTTGGACATCAGAAGACAGTCATATTATCCTCATTAATGTATCAGTGGAATAAGTTGAGGTTCCATGATTACAAAAGTGTCGTTGCATATAACTTTACTATGTACCAGATTATAGCACAGCTAGAATTTTGTGACAAAATTATAACTGAAAAATCAAAATCAAAATTTTTCCAACTTTCCATGTATCCTAGGTATTATTGTAACAACAATATAGAATCGGGGAATTTGCTGAGTATTCTGATTTAGTTGCAGTCCTTCTAGTGGCAGAACAAGATAACAAGCTCCTTATAAAAAACCACCAGAAACGGCTCATAGGAACAATTGTATATCCTGAAATAAATGTCACAACCTTTAATCGTGGGTGTGGTGGCTTTAATCGTATTAAGAGACGTGGCAAACATGCTCGTTTTGATGGTAATAAATGTCGTGCTTGTTTTGATGGTCACAGTCAGGGAAGATACCATGGCCAAAACCTTTTCCACGATCGAAATTATTTTCGTGGTAGAGGAAATGGACGATGTCATATGAATAATTATAGATCTCTCAGATATGACTAAAATAATTGGAATCACCAAGGAAATGGTAGGTATATCAAAGAAGGTCCCTCGAGAAATTATGAATATGTATGCTATATATGTGGAAAGAAAGGCCACTGGTCTAAGGTGTGTAGGACACCAAAATATTTGTGTAAAAGACAAATGGCACCCGAAGAGGAAAAGGGAAAAGAAGTGAATTTTAATGAAATTAAACCCAAAGATGATAGTATCTATTTTGAGATTGTTGATTTTGTTAAGGAATAATGAGTTAAATAACCATTTGAATAATGAGTGATGTGCTTGTATTAATTTTACATTTGAACTATGTATCATCTTAAGAATTTGTATGTGTATCTTATGTTTACATAATATAATAATATTAAATATGTTGTTGATTTACTCTCTATTTAATCTTATTTCTATTTCAAAAGGGTTAGACATGGAACATGTCAAAGACATTTGCATTCCGGACAGTGAAACTACACATACAATCCTCAAAAGTAAGAAATATTTTACTAAAACAAATCTTACTAAAGGTGTAATAAATACAATCTCAGGTCCTGCAGATTTGATAGAAGAAACAGGTAATGCTACATTCATATTATCAAATGGGACTAAGTTTGTCATTAATAATGTTTTATACTCCCCAAAATTAAGAAGAAATTTGTTGAGTTTTAATGACATATATCTTCAAGGATATGATACCGAAACTGCAACTGAAGGTAACATGAAACACATTAATATCACTACTAATGTTTTGGGAAAGAATAAAACTTTAGAAAAACTACCAAAATTGCCTTCTGGATTACATTATACATATATACATGAAATTGAATGCAATTTAGTAGTAAAAGAAGATCCCAAAATTGTGAATTTATGGCATGACCGTTTAGGTCACCCTGGTTCAACAATGATGCATAAAATAGTTGAAAGTACATATGGTCATCCATTGAAAGATTTAAAACTTACAAAAGAAGATAAACCATGTGAAGCTTGCTCTCTTGGCAAACTAATAACATAATATTCACCAGGAAAGATTCAGACAGAATCACCTACATTTCTTGAAAGAATTCAAGGTGATATATGTGGACCTAGTCATCCACCGTCAGAACCATTCAGGTACTTTATGGTATTAATTGATGAATCTAATAGATGGTTATATGTATGTTTATTGTCAAGTTGTGATATGGATTTTGCACATTTTTTTGCAGAAATAATTAAACTAAGAATAATTCCCTGATTATACCATAAAGAAAATCAGACTTGACAATGCTGATAAATTTACATCTGAATCATTTAATAATTATTGCATGTCAATCGGAATTGTTGTTGAACATCCTGTTCCTCATGTGCATACACAAAATAGTTTAGCCGAGTCATTAATTAAACGTCTTTAATATATTGCTAGACCATTGATAATGAGAACTAAACTACCAGTTATTGTTTGGGGTCATGCAATTTTACATGTTGCAACACTCATACGTTTAAGGCCAAGTGCTGATCATACATATACCCCTTATCAACTTGCAATTGGTAAGAAACCTAATATTTCACATTTAAAGATTTTTGGTTGTGCAATATATGTCTCAATAGCTCCACCACAGAGAACAAGCATGAGACCTCAAAGTAGATTGGGAATATACGTCGGATATGAATCACCATCTATTAATAGATATCTTGAACCTTTAATGAATGATATTTTTCAGGCAAGATTTGTTGATTGTCATTTTGACGAAACAAAATTTCTAACATTAGGGGTAGAAAACAAACAATCAAAAAATGAAATATCATGGTGTGTACCGCATTTATTACATTTGAACCCATATAATAAATCATGGGAAGAAAATGTAAAGAAAATTATGCACTTACAAAATTTAGTAAATCAACTGTCAAATTCATTTACTGATTTGAAAAGAGTTACAAAGTCACATTGCCAGCTGTAAATGTCCCAACT